TTATCTACATTTTGCATCATTAAAAAAAAGGGGGAAAGGTAGCAGTTCTGATTTTTATCAAATAAAAAAATTGAAGTCATTCTAGTCCCTAATAGGGAAGTTACTTCACATTTCTTAGGTACAAAGATACATGAAAAGAACTGGAATTCATAGAACAGTGGAAGGGAATCGGAGCCTATTCAAGAACCGCAAAGTGCTAACGATGTTTAGCTTTGCTAGATTAGCTCCTTTTAATGGCCAATTTTTAGAAGTCTTTTACTTTACCCTGGATATCAGTACATAGTCTGTTTCACGGTCAGTAAACTAAACTTTCTTTTATATTAACAGATTTTTTTTTTGGGAAATAATTCATTTTGGTAGGTTTTATACAATGGGTAAGTTAATTTCTGGAAAAATGTTTTGAAAAGGATGTAGGAATTAGAAGGCACAGAAATGATAATGTAAAAATTGAGATCATATATGGATTTTTTCTACATGTTCAAGCTAATTGCTTTCATTAGTCATCCTGAACTGTTGCAGGTTTCCTTTCCCACCAGGACAGCTGTGCCTTTTAAAGTGTAAATAGTTATTTGTATTAGCTATAAGAAAAAAGTGGCTTCAGCTGGAAGAACTTACCAACAGAAACACTCTTGAGCTTATAGAAATAACTTTGGTAAACGGCCTCTCTTAAAAAGGCTGCTGAAAGCTCTAAAATATAAGGATAAAACATGTGGTCTCAGACTGTACACTTTGCTGCTACAAACTACATCTGATGGGATTAAGAGGCTACATTGATTCTTGGGTTTATTGCACCAACAATCCATCTCTGACCTACCTGTGGCTGCATCTGAAACAAGGTAAACTCCAAGAAGAAATGAAAACAGTGGGTCCCTAAAGCACTCTTCCCAACAGGCAATTCTTTTACATGTTTTATGTCAAATAGTCACTGCTACCGCCACTGGAGCTGAAGATGGCACAGTGTGGCTTTCTTCATTTCACCTTGTGTAAAAGGCAAACTCTGACCTGGAATCCAAAGTCTGTGTTCTGACTGACGTCTAAGAATAGCAAAGTATGTTTTCTCCAGTTTGGGGAGCTCATGCTCAAACCTGGAAGCAGTTTCCTACTGGAATGTTATGTACACTGTCGACCTCCCCGCTCAAGTCACTTGTCCTTATTCTGCCCAAACAGCACAAGGCAATCTGTCCCAATAGCTTAGTGTTTAGTGTAGTGCTTATGTTTCCTTCTACCAAAAAGGTCTCTTTGTTGATTCATGGGTAACAAATGGCCTGAAGTGTTCAAGACAATCACAAATGCCATTATGTCAAGTAAACCTAAGTCTTCAATGAAGCATCAGCTTGACAGCAAAAACACAAAACAGAAAGGTGGAATGACTGTTTCTGTTTGCTCTTCTCATGCTTTTGACATCACAGAGAGCTTATTCCTTTCTCCTTCCGTTGAGAATTTGATTTTTTTCTTCCAAGGAAGAACTATCCTGAGCTTTAGCTTATAAGAGTATTTGAGCCACATAAGGAGAATGAGTACTGGCAATAGCAGTCAACAGAGGCAGGTCGTTGGATTCAATCCTGAATATTGAGAAAAGAAAAGAATATTACTTTAAAATAGCATGGTTTTATGAGAAAGTGTTATTTCTAGGTACCAAGTTTGATAGATTATCATTTAAAACTAATGAAAAAGCAAAACAGATGGAAGGATAATAAACTTATTCTTTTCATAAAATATTCCAGTGGACACTGACCAGGGAGGCAAAGGGAGAGAAATACAGGAAGTGTGTTGTGCCTGTGTGAGACATAAAGCTCTTTTTTCCATGGCAGGGGCCACCAGACTTTCTCACATTCCTGTATTCCCTGTATAACTTCATTGTATCATACTTTAAGGTTTTCTTATTATAAACTCATTCTTCCAGTCAACACTCCTAAATGCATATTGATTTTTCACCTAAGGTCAAACAGCTCTTAGAAAAATGGTGATGGTAGCAATTTCTTAAACCTTAGGCATGTGTTCAAAGGTTATATGACTGATATCCTCACAAGATTCTGAGAGCAAGGTGACACTAAAAGATACCGAATTAAGAGACATCACGGTTTCAAATGGACACAGCGTTGGCTGCCTCTTCCAGCTGAGGTGGATACAGTATGGGCACTGGCTAAATTATGTCAGGTGTCATAAAAAAAAGTCAACTGTTTCAGTCTGTGGAATGTGTCCTAATTCTTTCCCTTAAATTTCTCGAAATAATAAAAAGTAAAACAGTATCTGGCATCACTTCATGGGGTTTTCTAGTCCTTCTCCTGTAATGCTACGTACAGATCTGATTTCAGAGTGGACAGAAGTTCTCTAGCACTTTTAAGAGGAGTAACAGAGCACGACCAGCGTAAACCCCTGCGATTGTGGGTATGAAGCCCAGTATCAATCAGATACAAGGAACATGCTGTTCACTTGGGGAGCTGCAGAGGCACGCATCTAATGGATTCCACATACTTTGATGGGTGACCAGGGCCTGAGTTTAGGTTGGTACAGGCTAAACACATCAGTGGGTACAATGCTAGGGATGCCCATCAAAGGGAGACGTGGCAGCACTTCACAGAACTCACCCCAGTACGACACCTAATTCTTTCACATGGACTCGCGTGTGTCCCCGGAGATATTCAGACAGCATTTTGCTTTTAAGGTACATCTCCTGTAGTCTGTCTTCAAGATGCATGATGCACTGCAAAGCCAAGAACATTCATAATGAGGAAGTCAAATATCTGCCAATATTTTAAGAATCTTCTTAATTCATTTCTAACTACCCAGTTTTAATCTCATCTGTTTCAAATACACTTAAAAAATAACAAGCCATCGCAAACCCTACCACTACCAGGTATAAGAATTGGTTCTTGTAAAACAAAGCTTACTTTTGCTAACTATTAAGATTTACATATATATTATTCTGGTCTTTTTAAACAAGTATTTTTTCATAGTTGAAATCATTCCAAAAGTACATTCCTTGCCTTTAAAAACTTTATAATAATCCTTTTCCACATTATTAAGAACTCTTTATTGATATAATTTTTATAGCTAAACAATCTTGAGAGTGTAAATTTACACTTACCCACATAGCAATTTGCATTTTTGTTCTTAAAAATAATTTAGTAAACAGTATCTCTTTTGTTGTCTTTTTTCCCCAGTATTTCAGATTATTCTGGCCCAACGCATTTCCACAGGAGACTGACTGGAACAGGTCATTTTGAACCTGCCCACAACTTTTTTTTTTTTCTTTTGCTTCAAGAATGTATTTTAACTAGGTCTTTAGTAACAATAAAGAAAAGGCAATTATTTTCAGGACATCTTTACCCTTGGAATGGTGTTCTGTTGTATTTTTTAGGGACTAGCAGCCATCTGTGTCTTTCACCAGAGGCAAATGCTTTTGCATTTGGCAGGCAGAGCTACCCAAGCAGCTTCATAAGACACCTGATGGCTTTGGCAAGGGTAATTCCATCATACATAATTTTCTTCTAGACCATTAGGCCTGTTATTTTCAAGGTAAAATGATTAACAGATGCATTTGAAAATGTTGATCTTGACCATCTGGGCTGATCAGTGGCATGGAAAAATATCTATGAGAGATGCAATGTTTTCAGTTTTTCATTGGTTTAAAATCTTAAATGCATCGTGTCAGGTGGATGAAACACAACTGCTAAGTGACTAAGAGTTATAAAGCAAGAGGGATTTCACCAATTCTCATAGAAATGCTCCTCCAAGTAAACAAAGTGGTGAAAGGATCTCTAATTAGCTTTCAGTTCCTTATGGAATGAAACAGAAAAATTTCAATAAGAGTTACAAAATATTAAAAAGTATTCATATTATATTGAATCCTTTCTCTTTTGACAAAGTAATTACAGTGTTTACAGTCTGTATGAAAACTGTATGATGCAATGTGGAAATAAGAACTCTGGTCTATATGAATATATACTAGACATGAAATCCAAGCATTTAGACAACTTTTAGCCAGGCACAGTGGCTCATGCATGTAATCCCAGCACTTTGGGAGGCTTAAGTAGGAGGATCACTTGAGTCCAGGAGCTCGAGACCAGCCTAGGCAACATAGTGAGACCCTGTCTCTACAAAAATTAAAAAATTACCTGGTCATAGTGGCACATACCTGTAGCCCTAGCTACTGGGGAGGCTGAGGTAGCAGAATTGCTTGAGCCCAGGAGGTCAAGGCTGCAGTGAGCCAAGATCACACTACTGCACTATGGCTTGGGTAACAAAATGAGACTAAAAAAACTCTTGTCAAAAAAAAAAAAAAAAAAAAAAAAAACCCATTAAAAAAAATACTTGAGTATTAAATTGAACCGTGCCCGGGGCTTTTTAACTCCCTTTTCTGGGATTTTATTCCTGAGATGGATTTCTCCAATTTTTAATTTCTAAAATTTCAAATAGCTACTTTCTCTTTTTGTACTGAAGGTTCTAAAAGCCATTTAAATCACAGGTTTCATTCAAGTGATTTTTTTTTAGGTGAATTTTAAATTGCAGATAAAATTTTCTTTAATCTTGGTTTTGTTAGATTAAATAAGGCTTTCATACTACTAAGTGCTTGAACATACTTCTGTCCAAATGAAGTAAAAAGAATTAACTATTATAAGAGTTTATTGCTTTGATAACCAAGATGCCAATTATGACAAGACCTATGTATCACACAATGAAATATAAAAGTTTGGCAGATACTTATACGAAACTATGAAGTCTAATATACATTCCTTCCCTTACAGAAAAGGAAACATTAGCCTCTAAATCAGCATAACTCAACCTGCTTCTAGAAGGAAAAACTGCCTACAACTGTAGAATGAAAAATAAGATCATAAAAATCCATAAATGCTTCTCATATTGCCCCAGGAAAGATGTCTTACAAAAGTATGCTTCAGCTTAAAATACAGAGTTTGGAAAATAAAGATAAAGAGAGTGTAGAAAAAAAGGTGTTGTCAGTCTTTGCAATCATTCATGAAACTAATTGTTATTAACTATCATACTAACAGTAGCTGTTTACTGACTGCTTATAACATCTAACACCATTCCAAATGCTCTACATTAATTCTCTAATATAATTTCATAACCGTATGAGATGGGTTCTATTATTTCCCCAGCTTTGCAGATAAGGAAATTGAGGCTTTGAAAGGTTACATGGTTAGGAAATAGCAGAACTTGTATTTAACTACAGGCTATTGGACTCTAAAGCTAACATATATGGCTTTTAAAGTATCTTATATTGGCATGGTGCTTTGGTAGTAAAAAGCAGTTATCATATTCCTAATTTTCAGAAGATTCTCACAGCACCCTTGTTGAACAGGTACTATCTGCCTTTTACAAATAAGAAAGCTGAGGTTCAGAGAGTCTCAGGATTGTCCATTGTAACACAACTAACCGATGGCAAAGCCTAGACCATAACCCAGCTACGCAGTGTGGTCCTCCTGCCTTGCCACACTGTCAGGACTTTGATAACAACTAGACGGTATTCAGAGCACCTTCTTCAAAGCCATAAAAGTCTTGACTCTTCTTGAGGAATGGGTACACGTATGGATTCAGTCATAAAAACCCAGGCCAGTGACCATTGCATTAGCAATTAGCGTAGGTAATTAATGTTCAAAAGCTTCCTGCTTTGTTGGGTAAACAGGTTTGCATCATTTTTGGAGGCCAGGAGGCAGATAACAGATATTCTGGTTTTGGGCTGTGCTGCAGAGAACAGCGCTATGCAGATGGGAGGGAAGAGCAAAGAAAGCAGACTCTTTCCTCACACACCTGTCTCTGAGGTCAGCCCATCCAAGCTTTAACCAACTGTATGCCATATGCCTATAAGCTTCTCTCTCTCTCTCTCTCTCTCTCTCTCTCTCAAGTGTTCATCATCATTAGAAAAGCTTTTCTTCTTTTGAAACCTTTCCCCCTCCCTCTCTAAATGTATTTTCTCTTTCTTTCAATTTCTCGGCACATACACAGATTTGGAAAAGATTTTGTTGTGGATGTTAATTCCAGTGGCTAGCAGGGAGCTACTCACAGTTTTCTAAGAGTCTATAGGCTCTGTTTGTTGTTTGTATTTAAAGCATTGTTACGAAAGTGATTTTAAAATTCCATTTGGAAAGAAACAATTAGGCCAGGTGCGGTGGCTCACACCTGTAATCCCAGCACTTTGGGAGGCAGAGGTGGGCAGATTGCTTGAGCCCAGGAATTCGAGACCAGCCTCAGCAACACGGCAAAACCTGTCTCTACAAAAAATACAAAAATTAGCTGGCATGATGGCACATGCCTGTGGTCCCAGCTACTCAGGAGGGTGAGGTGGGAGGATCGCTTGTGCACAGGAGGTGGAGGTTGCAGTGAGTGGAGATCATTCCATTGCATGACAGAGTAAAAAAAAAAAAAAAAAAAGCAACAATTGATATTATGTGTGTATAGTACTTCAAAATTTGAAATGTTTACACAAAGAATACTCTATTTTATCCTTAACACCTTTGTGAAAATGTTCACTTAACAGGAGGAAATACAATCCCTTCAGAAACTGGCCTACTTATTATAATACCAGTCTAATAAAAGGAGAACTCATGAGTTCTCCAGTGGATGATTTACAATTTCCTTTTATGCTTGATCTCTTCACGCATTCCTTATTTACTGCACTGTATATTTTGTTCCAAAAAATTCCTACTCCTTATTATTTGTTTCATGGAAGAGCTATTACTGAAATCTATCCTGTTGCTGGTCTTATGTTGCATGTTCTAGTTTTAGTTATGCTAACCTCCAATAAACTTTTGAGTTTGTGATTGTATAAGCAAAATGTCATCAAAAGTATTTTAAAACTGTATTTCTTTGGTAATGTAAGAACCAGTACTTACAAAATCAGCAGGGAGGTGAAGCTTGTAGAGCTGTAAGATGGACTGAAGCAAACTGGACACCTGACTAGAGACCAGGACATCCTGGCCTAGTTTCATGTTGTCCGTCACTTTCCTCTGACTTGTAGCTACCTGCACACTCCATTTATCCGTGTCTGCGATAATACAGATGGCTTCGGCTATTGGCTCATCCAACACTGGATGCTGAAAGAGAAACACAGTAGGTCAACTTCCCACCATACCTCCAAGTGACGCTCAGAATGTCCGCAGTCTTTTTGTTTAGCGTTACACTAACATTTTAGAAGTTAAAGGTAGGAGCTACAGAAGTTTGGAGCTTTATAGGGACTCAAATAGGAGTGTCACTAAATCATTATTTTAAATTAATTTCATAAAACTGCTTTTAATCCGTTTTTTCCTTACACCTAGGAGGTTTGCTATAACTGTTGTTAAATGTTCACAGAAAGCAAAAAGATACATGCCCTCGCTACAGTTCAGGATATTAAAATTCATTTCTTTTTGAAAGGCTGCACTCTCCTTTGAAAATGGGGAAAGTGTACCTAAGGTGTAGGATATTCCATCCTCATTTCTCTAATAACAAAGCTAGGCAGGATAACTGAGTATTTCCTTAAAATTACAGCTTTAATCATGAAGCAAAATTGGGTAATTGTGTGTGCTACATACACAAATCATCTCTAATAACCATCTAAAATCACCAGGTGAATCCAAAAAGTCAAAGTTTCACTACTGATAAATACACTTAAAGTGTAAAATTCTTGACAGCTGGGCAGTTATGAATACAGCAGATTTAACAACTGGTAAATTGTGCCATAGGGTAAATAGGGTAAACATTGAAGCTGTCACAAGGACTTTTTAAAAAAATCTAATTTCTCAAAACAAAGTGTAACTGCTTGGGAGGGATGGGTGGGGGAGGGGGAGAATAGAGAGAGCCAGAGACAGAGAGACCTGTCTCAAAGCCAATGCACATAGGCACAGTTTTCTAACTCTCATTACCAAGGAATATTAGTACTGGCTGCATCTGTCCTCAATCCTTTCTACTATCCTGGGGTGAATGACTGCTTGATTTTTTTTGGCTGCTTAAATAACTTCCTCCAATAAATCCATCTGAATTTGCCTTTGAAGAATGGTCTGTCTTAGACAAGGCCCAGTGAGACCACAATTGGGGGTCCACCCTTCCCTCCAACAAGGTGTGGTTGTATGGCCCAAGCTATGCCAGCTGGATGCTCCTACCCTGGGAAATCCTTGTGAGTACTACAGAAGACCAAAAATGGCTGGCACCACCATGTTCCTGCTCAGACAGCAATTAGTACAAGGCCTGGTGAGACAGTACAAACGCCTTCAAGTAGTTCATGGTTCCTGGAACTCCAGAATTGCTGTGTTGCCTACTTCAACCCTCATTCTTTGGTTTTCTCATCAATTCTATACATTCCCAATATTCTTCCACTAAAGTCGCTCCCTTTTAAGTTAACAAGAGTTACTAACTGCAACAAAGAACTCAAAGAGATACACAACTTTGCCACTGGCCAGACCATGGTTACCTGTGATTTTTACAACTTAAGCCAAGTAGTGGGAAATACAAATCAAAGATACATGGTGATCTGACTCCCTAGTCGTAGACTCTGTGATTAAAAGGGGAGCCTGGGCAGTTTCATATTCCTGCTCACAAATGGGGATGAGAGTGGTGAGATGAATGAAAACTTTGTGGGGACCAACGGTTTTTCCTACTATTGTCTAAGGGGGAAGAGTAGGAAAAATATAAACCCTATTATCAGAGTTTATATTTTTCCCATTGAAAGAAACAGGCAAAGTCTAATGTTTAATACTTATTTGTTTAAATAAACATGAGATATTTGATAAAGTATACTTTGAATTCATAAAGCCCAGTTTCCCAAGACAGTTCTCGTTTTGTAGAATTGTTAATTGAAGAGAACAAAGATTTTCTTACACGCATAATGACCCCCTCACCATTTTCAACCAAAGGTAATGACCCTTTCACTCTGACGCTTCTTACGCAGGCATATGTACACTCTCCACAATGGACACCTAAAGATACATGGCCTTGGTGACTTCCCTTTACAAGTTCCTCCAAGGTCTTGTTCATCAGTGAGTCATAAATTTATAGCAAGATGCCATCAATCTGTCTGGTCCTTATAAAAAAAAAAAAGGAAATTTGAACACTTAAAATATTTGTATTTGGGGTTCAAGCTCCATCACTCCTTTGCATCTGCTAGAAATCCACAACATGCGGTCATGCCACGGGACAGATCTATATTAGGGACCGTTCCCTCATACTGACCATATGTCAACATACAATGAGTTGAACATACACCTGTCACCTTTCACAGCGAATTCTGGCTTTTGTGAGGGGAAAAGGGAGGAGGAGGATTGATTTGCAGTAGGTAATTTGGCCCTAGGTTCAAATCAAACTTAGTCTTTTAAATGATCTTCCCACTGCAGTGATAGGGAAGGGAAAAGTGTGCCAATCCCCTTATCCAACAGTGCGTAGACTATAAATTACATGGTACCACTACCAACATAAAGGGCTTTGTTTTAAGCAACTAATTGCTAGGATAAGAGTCAAGAAGCGTACTAGGAAGTTGATGGATGGAAGATTCTAAAACTCTTACCTGCTTAGTTACTTTTAAAATAATTGAGCCAACCTCTCTGCCCCTTTTTGTTATTGATGTAATCTAGGCTTGCAGAATTTTCATGTAAAAACATGAAAAATGAGAACAAGTCTTTTTATTTATTTATTTTTTAGAGACAAAGTCTTACTTTTGCCCAGGCTGGAGTGCAGAAATCTGATCACAGTTCACAGTAACCTCAAGCTTCTGAGCTCAAGTGATCCTCCTGCCTCAGCCTCCCAAGCAGCTGGTACTACAGACATGTGCCACCACACGTGGCTAATTAAAAGAATTTTTTTTGTAGAGATGGGGTCTTGCTATGTTGCCCAGGCTGGTCTCAAACTCCTGGCCTCAAGTGCTCCTCCCACCTCTGCCTCCAAAGAACTGGAATTATAGGTGTGAGCCACTCCATTTGGCCTCTAAACTTTCTTATTTATTTTTTTTGAGACAGTCTTGTTCTGTTGCCAGGCTAGAGTGAAGTGGTACAATCTTGGCTCACCACAACATCTGCCTCCTGGGTTCAAGCGATTTTCATGTCTCCTGGGTAGCTGGAACACAGGTGTGCACCACTATACCCAGCTAATTTTTATATTTTTAGTAGAGACAGGGTTTTGCTGTGTTTGCCAGGCTGGTCTCAAACTCCTGGCCTCAAGTGATCTGCCTGCCTCAACCTCTGAAAATGCTGGGACTATAGGCTCGCAAGTAATTTTTAAATCACTGGAGCAAAGAGGCAGAATCTGAGGCAGAGACTTGAGTAAAGACTAAAGAATAATGTCTAAAGACGGAGGCAAACTGACAAATCTTCTCTCTGCATCCTTAGCCTCTAGCACAGGAGCTGGCATTTGAAAAATGTTACTTGCTGAATGAAAATGAAACAGATTAAAACACAAGCAAATGACAAGAGTTGATGAGCATCTTGTGTTCCCTACAGCGTGGACTGCTGACTTTCATGCATGCAGGCCCCAGAAACAGAAAAGAACCAGCAGAACATTTTCAAAAGAGCATCTTAAAAAAAAATACTCCAAGAATTACATATTCTCAGGCTACTAAATATATACCACCCAATTCCCTGAATCAATCCAGTCACCTCCATCTAATTATATCACTTAGTAGCTACTAAAGAATAAACAACTTTTAAAGAAAGAACAAACTAGAGGGGAGTCTAAATATTCAAGAAAAAGAAATGAATGCTGGAAAAAGATAAAAATATCATCAACTACTTTAGTTACAATGCAAAGGGCACCAGAGCCACTGGTGGCCATCCCTGATTAGGCCTGAACTTGCACAGGGTCAGAGAGTTGAAGCTGAAGTTCTGGTGACTGGAGATTTCTGATAATCTTTCCAAAGGAAACTCCTCCCCATTAGAGAGTGGGCAGTGTAAACAGACTTATCAGTCAATCTCTAGGTTTTCAGAATTTAAAGAACTCTAAGATCCAGAAAACTATGTTTGGATTTGTCGCAGAAATATACACCTGCACACACCTTATGCCCTGGAATTCAATTTAAAATTTCTCTTACAGAAAACTTTTTTTTTTTTTTTTTTTGAGAGTCTCTGTCACCCAGGCTGGGGTGCAGCGGTACGTTCTCGGCTCACTACAATGTCCGCCTCCTGGGCTCAAGCAATTCTCCTGCCTCATCCTCCTGGGCAGCTGGGATTACAGGAACCTACCACCATGCCTGGCTAATGTTTTGTGTTTTTGGTAGAGACGAGGTTTCACTGTGTTGGCCAGACTGCTCTCGAACTCCTGACCTCAAGTGATTGACCCACCTTGGCCTCCCAAAGTGCTTGGATTACAGGCGTGAATCACCATGCCTGGCTGGGAAACCTATTTTTAAGGCATCTGTAGAACCACAATAAACAAACACTGAATTGTATGTATGCTTCTTTATAATACTATTTCTTATGGCCATACCTTAATAGAAGTTAGTAAATAGTGAAATCTGTTAAGTAAGTTAAGTTCACAATTTTATCAAGTTCATGTGCATAGTAGGTTTCATACATACACTTATTTGCAGTAACATACATGTAGCAGTTTTTTTTTTGTTTGTTTGTTTTGTTTTTTTGGTTTTTGAGACAAAGTCTCACTCTGTCACCCAGCACTGGAGTGCAGTGGTGCAATCTCAGCTCACCGCAACCTCCGCCTCCCAGCTCCAAGTGATTCTCCTGCCTCAGACTCCCGAGTAGCTGGGACCACAGGTGTGTGCCACCACACCTGGCTAATTTTTTGTATTTTTAGTAGAGGCGGGGTTTCATGGTGTTAGCCAGAATGTTCTCAATCTCCTGACCTTGTGATCTGTCTGCCTCGGCCACCCAAAGTGCTGGGATTATAGGCGTGAGCCACCACGCCTGGCCCATATGTAGCAGTATTTTTAAGAAATTAAGTACTCTAAAAAATGCTAACCTAAGATTGACTGATTTAAACACCTGTGAAAAGCCTGATCCACCATCTGCATTCTTAGGACCTGGAGTTTGGGCATGGGGACTAAAGAAAAGGAATAGGAAGGAGGGGGGTGGCTGCACCCCAACGCTGACAACTGAACCATGGTGAGCCTCACTTTGGC